CCTTTGGGTTAGGGCTGGTGCAAATGACCTACAAGGGCTGCTGCATTTCACCTTTGATGTTCATTAGCTTCTGTTTTGCTTTGCTTTTTTAGTTCTGGCCAAGGTTTCTCACCCCCTTTTCCGCTTCTTATTTCCCTCTTTCTTGGGTCATTATTCTTGTTGGAGGTCTCTTTGGGAATAATCAAACATGTTGGTATGTGTATACTTGCATTATGTTTCCAACACATTCGCAAACCAATATTTTCATTTTGGTATGCCTTTCTAGGAAAACTTTTATAATATCTTGGGGACATCAAGAGAGAAAATGCTCAACTTTTTTTTTCTGGAGGGAATTCATCGCATGAAAATGGAAGGGGCAGAAAAAAAAGCACATCTAATTAACTTGAAGAGCCTCCAGCAGGAGGGTCAATCATCTCGTACCATCAAAGCTACCGTGTCAGCTTGACCCCTTATGTATTAAAAAAAAATCTTCTATTCGCTTCTTTCTAGATATCCCACACAATGTAGAGGGCAGTCTTCATCTCCTTCTTTCTCTCTTCTCTTTTTGCCTTGCCCATTTCGACAAACAATTCCTAGCCCTAGTAATTAATGCTTAACAGTTCATCCTTGTGTTTAAGGAGCTAAAAAGCCAAATATGTCTGACAAAGCGACACTCAAGGGTATTGTGCACACAATCAACACAGTTCATTTAATAACATATGGAATGTGATGCATTGGATATTTAGGCTGGTCATAGTGGGGAGTAACTTAGAGTACTAACATGCATATGTTACTAGTCTATGTTACTACCTTCATAGTGGGCAGTGTCATATGTGTAGTAACATAGATGTCTTCATTTATCACTTTGTAGACTCATTTTGCATTGGAAAGCGCTATGTGATGATAACATATTATGTTACTACTCTATTTGCCTCTCTCCTCATTAACTACTTGCCACCTCATCATTTTTGCTTGTGTGGCATCTATGTTACTCCCTAAGGCTGGTCATAGTGGGGAGTAACTTAGACTAGTAACATGCACATGTTACTAGTCTATGTTACTACCTTCATAGTGGGGAGTAACATAAGTGTGATAACATATAAATCTTCATTTATTGCTTTGTAGACTCATTTTGCATTGGAAAGCGCTATGGGATGGTAACATATTATGTTACTCTATTTGCCTCTCTGTTCATTAATTGTGTGACACATCATCTTCTTTGCTTATGTGGCATGTATGTTACTACCTATGTTACTCCCACTATGACCAGCCTAAGTTACTCCCACTATGACCAGCCTTAGTGATAACAATATACTACAAGAAGTGGTATAACTCATTCCGTAGCATTTTAGCCCTTGATCACATGATTTTTGCTTCGTAACAGGTTCATTGCGTAAGTTGGAAGTACGTCTTCAGCATGTTGCTATGGACAAAGAGTTAACTCCTACCAAACAAGATCACATTGTTTCATGCGGTGAAGACATGTCTACAGCAATATATTCTGCGTATTTAAATAAACTTGGGGAAAGGGCACAACAGGTAGGAATACATACTTCTAACAGTTGCTTGGCTAAATGTTTGTTATCTGGCCTTGGTTCTCTAGATTTATTTAATGCCCTTTTCTAATCATCGTTTCCCTTGTTTTTGTCGAATTAAGGTCGAGGGGTATCCCATCTTTTCGAAAGAGAAAAATTGTCTGGACTCTGAAAGATTTCTTATGAATGAATGGATATGGAAGATAGTGCAGTTAAACAGAAATTTTCTAGAAGGTTACCACTAAAAACTGACTAGGCTATATGAACAAAGTTGACAAATTTGGAGTTTTGCTTCTGTTATGTTTTCTAATTTGATTTATAAAAAAGTATTTCTTGTCATGTTTTTGAACACAGGGATTTATTCGGTTTCCCATCGATCAATATAATGGATCGTGAGCTTAATTTTTATGTTCACTGAAACCTATAAGTCAAACTTACTTTTAGGGAAATGGTGAAAATACAATTGACTTGGTACATTCTCATGAGTGCTTTGCTAAAAATCATTCCAGGCCTCCTTTGATTCACATGGTAGAAATTTCATGGGAATCGGAAACCCATAGAAAGTGAGATGACATGTATCTCAAATCCGGTAGACAAAGAGATGTTATTTGGCTCACCCGAGATAGTTTTTCCATTGGGTCTACACTATTGTTTGCCTTTCAAATACAAAGGATTGGTTCCTAAGGGCATCTC